TGGTAACGTTGGATCTCCTAAACCTGGAATATACAGAGATTAGCACAGTCTGTGCCACAACATAGGATAACCAGGCAGGATAAAAAAGCAGTTAACGCCGTATGATGGACCGCGTCCGTCATGCACTAAAGTTAACCCCAGATGGCCACGATCGCGGCAATTGCAAAAAATACAAGTGAGTTTTTTAAAGTCATGATAACAGGAAATCCCTTAATGGGATTGAATCAGTTAATGACTACATACATACAGCTATACACACCCATATATACATATAGCATTTTCCAATTACTTGAGGACACCATACAAGACAATTAAACTCTGTGATGGAGCCTTACTTCAAGAAAATATTGGTACAAGAAAAAATACAAGTGAGTTTTTTAAAGTCATGATAACAGGAAAGCAAACCACCATATTAACCTCAAGACTCCGGTTTTCAGGGTCAGGACAATTCACAAGGCCCAGTAACACCTGCAACGCATCTGAAGTAATTAATTAGAACTGCAAGACTTTATTCTGTTACCGGGTGTGTCCTGCAAACTGCAATCCACATGCAAAAGGCTTTCTGGTATGACAAATAGAATGCCTTATACTGCAAGTAAAGCCTCACACAGAATCTAGTTACTTACCCTCACTTCAATAAGAACTGGGCTGTCAATATACACCAGTTTATGCACAGAGGTTATAGTGGATAGACATACAGATAGTCTAATGGGAATCCCAAACAAAGATTATATTCCATCCTTCACTTTAATAAGAACTGGGCTGACAATATTAAAGACTGGACTGTCCATATACACCAGTTCATGTACTTATGAGAATCCCAAATAAGATTATCTTCCATTCTAGGTAAAATCTGACAAAATAATAAAAATAAATAAATTTAAAAAAAATCACAGAATTTCATAGACCCAAGTTTTACCCTCGACTTATCCACGAGGCATAGCATATTTCACAATTGTTGGTCACAAAACTGCACTCGACTTATACACGAGATCGACTTATACACAAGTATATACGGTAGGTAATCTTAAGAGAACAAAATTTCTATTTAATTAAAAAAAAAAACTTTCACACTCCTTTAAACCTGCTTGCCTACATGCTGAGTGTCACAACAACCAGTAATATAATGCCTTATAAGATCATTCTCTTAATGGGCCTGAATTAGTTGTGACCACCACAAGTGAGAATAAATGAATCCACATAATGAATAAAAACCGAGGCAGCAGTGGACTTCGTATTGGATAGGAGTGCCAAAAATAAAGAATATTTTCCATTCTCTGAGGTAAGGCAGGCTGGAAAACACTGCAACATGTCTTGTTGTAAACCAGGTCCAGTGTAGACAAAAAGACCAGAGTTGATATTCTCTGAATTAAGGACTGCTGGAAATTACCCCCACAATCTTGTAATAACAAGGGCCATTGAAGACATTCTCTGAGTTAAGTCCTGCTGGACACCATACCTACACATCTTGAAAAAAACAAGGACCAGGGTGGATTTTCTCTGTGCTGGAACACACAGTCACCTTTCTTGTTACAGACAAGGCCAGGAGTGGACTCTCTTGGAATTAAGCCCTGATTGGAATCACTTGTTAACACATCTTGTTAACACAAGGCCCAGTGTGGATAGTCTATGTAATTAAGCCTGATGGAATTCACTGCCACATATCCTGTTAAAAACCAGGGCCAGTGTGGGCTTAGAATTAGGTTAAAAATTCACGAGAACATGTTCCATATAAACAGTGCTACCACCAGGATCATAGCAAATATATTTCTCCTCGAGTAACATATTTTAAGGAGGTTCTCCTTCCGAACACCAGAAATACATCCTTCATCCAGTGACTTATACGTTTACCAATATTTGCGCATACCAATATTATACCGCTACCCCAAGGATCACAGCGGCCGATATCCAATACCATACATATGTACACTGCAGTTTTACCGCTACCCAGAGGGTCACTGCGGATTTATATCATTATGAAGTATGTGTAAACACCATGCACCGCTACCAATAGGATCACTGCAGCAATAGTCTGAATGTTATAATGTACTTGTCACACATAATAACCGCTACCAAGAGGATCACTGCGGATTTATATCCTATGACATATCTGAATACACCATGCACCGCTACCATTAGGATCACTGCGGCAATAGTCTGAATGTTAAAATGCATGTGTCACACATATCAACCACTACCATTAGGATCACTGCGGAATAATCATAGTTAAAAAGTGTATACATCATGCACCGCTACCATAAGGATCACTGCGGTAATGTCATAATGCATGAGTCACTTATAAATAACCGCTACCCTTAGGATCACAGCGGATATAGTTTGCCATCACAATATACCCATATATAACCGCTATCCTTTGCTGCGGAATTCTTCAAATAGTAAGGATACAAGGCATATATTTACCACTATAGCTTACATCGCATAGGTTTTACTGCTACCCAGTGGTCTGATCAGGAGAATCCTTATGTACTTTCCAAAAAAGTACAGCTAAACCCTCCTGGGTAAGAAGAGGTAAACCAAGTCCAAATCCAAAAAAGGTAATGCAACTTACCTGAAACCATGTCCACAGCCAAGAGGACAGGAAAAAAGACTGGAGATCCGGTCTGGTAGGAGGAGTATTTATACCTTTATTTCCTGTCCTAAACAGCCAAGTGGGCGGAGCTAACCCTATCGTAATGCTGCCATGTATTAGCCAGGAAATCTATTTTTATTTATTTTATTCTGTGGGGCAAACATCTAAATAGGCCATACATCACTCTAACTTTAGGAATATATGTTTGTATTCCAAATAGTTTGTTACTTTAGGGACCTGCTGACTACTGACTGCTAACAAATGCTAACAAAGGAGCTCTCTTTGTAAAATATGTATCCCTATTTAATTTCCTCTTAAAATTATTCCAGACCTGAATGTGTAAAGCTTTTATTGTCAGTAAATGCTAACAATTGTATTAACTGTAAAATCTTTTTTGAATTACTTACAAATGTATCATGTAGAGTTATGCATTTATTGTCATCATTTCAAATTACTGGTGTCTTAGAATTGTTACTATTGAGTATACAATATATTTTTCTTTACCTCACAATATTTTTTTTAATGTTTTTATTTTTTTCCCAGGCCTCAAGTTTTTTAATCTTCCTGGACATGGTATACATACAAAATATCTAGCTCTGGACATGGATAGGAATATATATATTCAATGGAAGAAGCATGGTCATCCATTTGTCAGCCCAGGTATCTACTCTGTCAAAGACTGTGCTTACATCGCCCGTGAAATTGATGGACTTCCTGGGAGTCCAAACACCATCATTGTTATTACACTTGGACAACATTTCAGAGGTTTCCCTCTACATTTGTTCATCAGAAGACTACTAAGCGTGCGAAAGGCCATTGAACGTATTTTTCAACGAAGTCCTGAAACCAAGATCTTCATTAAATTAGAGAATTCAAGGGAAATAAACACAGATGTAGAACGAATTAGTGATTTTCATGGCTATATCCAATATCTCCTATTTAAAGACTTATTTAAAAGACTTAATGTTGGAATAATTGATGCTTGGGAAATGACACAAGCCTTTGCTTCTTACAATCTTCATCCTCCTGAGACTGTCATTAGGAACCAAATCAACATGTTCTTGTCATATATATGTTAACTTAATATGGTGATTCAATGTTATTAACATTTTTAAATGCACCTTGATAACACTTAGCAGTCAAAGCTTACCTACAGGGCCGGACTGGGAATTAAAAGCAGCCCTGGAAAAAAAATATTTACCAGCCCCATAATGCATCGCGCCAGCATAGTGTGCAGATACAGAGTTAGAACAGATAACTTAAAATTAAAAAGTACTTCAACGTAAAAAGCGCACTCATAGGCTTCAAAATAAACAAAAGTGCAGATTTATTTTAAGCAGACGTGCCTTTGCATGTAATCAATGTTTCAGTCCAACTACCTTGACATATTAAGGAAAGCTTGTTAATGGGACTGAAATGGTGAATGTATGTAGGGCACAACTGAAATTTTTTTATTTTGAAGTCCTGTGGGTGTGCTCTTCACTTTAAATATGTTATTGTGCTGGAGTATGCACCTAGCAACAAGACTGGGCCAATATCTGCTCATTACATATGGTACATATTAATGAAATTTCTCTGTGTATTATGCATTTATAAATGTACATTAATATGTGTAAATATAATAGAGATATAAAACTAATACACACATTAATATACATGTCATATACTAATGGCGGATCCAGAGCTTGAGCCTGAGAGGGGCACTTGTAGATTATTTAAAGAAATATTCCATGCACAATAACCACTACTCCTCTGTGTACTCCTCTGTCTACTCCTCCAGGAGCGTCGGCACCCCCTCCCAGAGTAAGTCGTCAAACCGTTTAAGAACAGTTTGACAACTTACCTGGAGTCTGCTGGGATATGGGGCTGTAGTAGGGTATAGGAGCAGTGGTGCAATGTGTGTGAAAGGTTCAGTGTGTGGGTGGGCAGTGTGTAAATGTGTATGGTGTGTGTGTGTGTGTGGGGGGGTAGTGTGTGAATGTGTATGGTGTGTGTGTGGGGCAGTGTGTGTATGGGGCTAGAGTTCACTCCTACTACTGGGACCACCAGGAAGTGGTGAGAGTGAACTCTAGCCCGTAGCTCCAGGGCTAGAGTTCACCCTCGTGAGAGCCAGAGCATTGCCCCAGGTCCTCTCTTCCTCCCCTGCCGACTGGCTGCACGGTGCCTGTGGAACGGGGAGGGAGATCGGCCGGCAGGGGAAGGCCTTGGGGGCTTTGTGATATATACTGCCCCTATGTGTGTCTCTTTATCTCCAGCCCCTCTGTGTGCCTTTTTGTCTCCCCCAGTCACTGTATGTTTCTTTCTCCCCCTCACTGCTCCTCTGTGTCAATATCTCCCCTCTCCTTCCCAGTCTCTCTCTTCCCCCTCTGCCTCTTTCTTCCCCTCCCCTTGTGTGTCTCTCTCTCATTTCTCCCTCTTTGTCTCTCTCTTCCCCCTCTGCCTCTTTCACCCCTTTCCCTGTGTCTCTTCCTCCCCATCTCTCTCCCTCCCCCCTTTCCCTGTGTCTCTCCCCTCCTCCCCCCTTTCCCTGTGTCTCTCCCCCCTCCTCCCCATCTATCTCCCCCTCCTTTCCCTGTGTCTCACCCTCCTCCCATCTCTCTCCCTCCTTCCCTTTGGTTCTCCCATCTCTCCCCTTTCCCCTGTGTCTCTCCCTCCCTCCTCCCCATCTCTCTCCCCCTCCCTCCCATCTCTCTCCCCTTTCCCCTGTGTGTCTTTCCTCCCTCCTCCCCATCTCTCTCCCTCCCCTTTCCTGTAAGCCTCCATCTCTCTCCCTTTCTGTGTTCCTTCCCCATCCCTCCCCTTCCCTGTGTTCTCCCTCCTCCCCATTCCTCTCCCTCCCCTTCCCCAAGTGTGCTCCTCCTACCCTCTCCCCCTTCCTTCCCTGTGCTCCTCCCCACTCCTCCCTCCCCATCTCCCTTTCCCTCTGTGCTCCTCCCCCTCCTCCCCATCTCTCTCCCTCCCACTTTCCCTGTGTCTCTCCCCATCTCTCTCCCTCCCCCCTTTCCCTGTGTCTCTCCCTCCTCCCTCTATTCCCCTCTTTACCTGGAGAAGTCAGGGGGCCGGCCGCGTTCCTGTGCCGGGAACCGCGAGGGAGCATGGTACAGAGACATGCTCCTCCTCCATCAGCCACAGCAGTGAGCAGGGGAGGGCTGGCAGCCTTAGGCCTGGGGGGCAAAACCAGTCAAGTGGCCCATTGCACCACCAAATCAGTTCACCATCCATGCCCACCTTTTTCTGGTTTTATAACGGATATTGATGTTATGCTAATCAGTAGCTCTTTGCCATACCCGCTCCTTCACGGCTCTGCACTGCTGTGAGTGTGAGCCACTGTAAATTAGGGGCAGAGGGCACTTGCACTGCGGTAAAGATGGGGCTGGACAGGAGGAGAGTGCAGTGCAATCAGTGCACTCTCCTCCTGTGGGTCACCAGTAGACTGGTGCACCTGCCCAGGATCAGAGCCGGTGCAAGGATTTTTGCCGCCCTAGACAAAATAAAAATTTGCTGCCCCCACATGTCACATCACAATGCCCCACCCATATGATCTGCCATATGAACTAACGCCAGTGCTGCACACAGTGTGTGCTTACATTAAAAAGCCTGCAGGGACCAGCTATAGACACCAGAACCACTTCATTAAGCTATAGTGTCCCTTTAATGTGAGGTAAATTATAGATTAGTGTCACTAATAATATACTAGATTGCCTACTTACAACCAGATGAGGATGGTGATGGGCTCTGGCTGCAGTTTGGCTCCACTGGTCTGGTGTGGAACAGGATCTCTGGAGGCTGTTTGTAAGTGTGGTCACAAAATTCAATGTTCTGGGAGAACAG